AAAGTTATGCTGAACTGAATGAGGTTTAAAAGTAATATAGCGAAGAAACCGCCAGCCCCAAACTTCGATCAACTTTAGAAACTATTTCGTTGTGAAGAACACATGGGAGGCTGACATTTTGAGATTCAGTATTCAGTTGTAGCACAGATCATACCCTTCTGTATTGTCTATAAGCAATTTGACCAGTCAACTCCTGTCCATTTCCAGCTACATAAACCTGAAGATGACCATTAGGTTAATAAGCACCATATGATGTGAATTTGGCATAAAATATTACGTCTACAAAGCAATAGAAAAAAGAAACAAAGGGAAAGTAAAGCGTATTGCAAGTATCAAAGAACAGGAAGCAACGCGGAAAAAACAATCAGAAACCTCAAGCAACATAGAAATGCAGAATCCAAACATTTCTGTAACAAAACCAACTTAAAGCGAATCATTGTGCTTAAGTCATGAAAACTATCAGCTAAGATATAGACTCAACATAACAGTAGATCTATGTTCAGAAACTATTGAAAAAAAAACAACAATCTGAACGCAATTCTTCAGACAAATGGAGTTTGTGTTTCAACTTACTCTTCTTCCGTCAGCAGCTGTATACCAGTGCCCAGAAGATTTACCTACTGCATGTATCCTTCTTTTGCCAGCATCTTTAGGATTTTTAGCAGAACATCTAGGATTTATCCAGCTCTCTGATTCCTGTGACAACTCTTGAACACTTGATTTTCTTGCACTCTTTTGGCTCCTTGTTGAGCTTGGCCCATTCTTAGGTCCCTTTTTACCATGTTTCGGAATTTCTCGTTGATTGAATTGGCCCCTGAATAAGTAAGACATGGTACATTATACATCTACCACAAGTATCCGTTAAAACTTTGAAGTGTGCATATTATTAACATCTTACATGTAATCAATTGGGCATGCATTAAGCTGTTTCTGTCCTTGGTTGTTTCCAGCCTCCAAGGGAAAAAAGTTGGGCAAACGAGAATGAACGAGCTTTTGGATCCTTGGATCCTCGTGATAATAATAGGCATGAGCAGGTGGTTGAGGCCCGGCCACATGTTCTTCTACATTATTCTTACTGAAATTGCTGGTTTCATAACAGTCTTTGTCGCAATTCCAAAATCCATTTTTACCTTTCACAGATCTGAAATACTCCTCGCAAACCTCATCAAAAGCTGGAGTAGGTATGTTCAAGGGCTTCTCTGAATGAATTTCTTTCCATAAATCCTCAGATTGGGACATTCTAGCTGAGGCTTTAGATTTCTTCACTTCAGCTGCAGCTTCAACTAAGTGGGGACCAGAAGCTCTGTCTTTTGAAGAAAATTCTACTTGATTGACTACTTTCTGTGGACCTCCAGGGGGAGAAGGTTCATCAGAATCAGAATCAGAATCTATCAACTGGAACTTTCTAAGGGGACTGACATGTAACTCAGGGAAAACCAATCTGTTGCAAGTAGAAGCATTTGAAACCTCTTTCTTCTTCCTCTCCTCTGCCTGTATTGCTGCTTGTGAGGCTACAAGCCCATGACCAGTTAAAGTGAACTTTGAACTGCCGCAGATGGGATTGTGATGCTTTGAAGCATTGTCTGCTATTGAAACTGCACATTTAGTAAGGGCGAGTGTTAACTGCTCGGAATTCAGGTTTCATTTATCTGTTAAATAACAAAGGAAGATGATTTTGAACAACCAAAAAACATTATACTGAAAATGGCTGAAAGATAAAAATCCAGATACAACGGAAAAGGTCATCATCAGGTACTAATAATAAGTGAGAATATTACCAGTTATTTAGTTATGCTAAATATAGGTTGTGAAGACAGATCCCCACACCCATGTGCCACCATAGAGTCATCAATGACATCATAGCTTAAGGGAACTAAATCAAGTGATGCAAAATTGATGTCTAATCCTCATCTGTGTAAATAGTAATCCTGCCCAATAGCCTACTAAAGCCTATAAGGTTCATCTCCAAATGAAGCTACATACTAAAGATTGGAAGCCGCAACAAATGCTTTACCACGTTATGTTGATGTTGACTCGTGCAAGACGTACTCATTTCACCTTCACCAAGAGTAGGACAGATTTTATGCCAAATTTCGTTATTTACTAATCTCCTATTAATTCATCACAAATAGTCTGCTAAAGGTTTGCACTATAATTCAATTTGAACGGCAAAAATGGTTTCCCAAATATAAAGACACGAAAGCATAAATCCACAAAGCCTAAGTCTTTACTGGATCTTATATAATAAGTTACAAACATGGTCCTCCAAATTCAGATATAAGAGAACAAATGCAAGAAGCAAGTAATTGAGCAACAAAAACTCAACTTTTGCAGGAGGGAATACACTAAAGTCTTTACAATCTTATATTTTCTGCACTAAAAACTATGACTGCTAGTCATAGGGTACGCATACTCATGTACTGGACTTCTACTACTGCAGATTTCTTGCTAAGATATTTTATCGAGGCAATATACTTTCATAATTCGTGGAGTCTTTTAAATAATTTGACAATAGTTTCCTATTTCTCAACTTACAAATTCTTCATTTCCATGTTCTTGATCAGATTCTCACAAATCGGACAACTTTGTTAGACATGCACATTACCCTATTTAACATTCCTTATAACAAGAAAGACTTAATCTATGTTCTATAACAATTCCCAGAGCTGTAGAAAATTCATAATCTAAAGCAATATCTTTATGAAAACCTTAAAACTAAAACTTTCTTCCTTGTCAAACCGGGCTTGCTACTAAAAATGAACCCCTTTCTGTTCTCACAAACTCAAAACGCTGGGGACCAAAAAAAAAAAACTTTATCCTTTAGTTTCTCTGTCTGTGTGAGAAATCAAATAAGCTACTAAGATCCCAGAACTCAAAAACTAGAAAGGGGAAAAAAAAAAGAAAAATAATGAAATTTGTGAAAAATCCAATCTTTTCACCTGGAGACGGATCTTCCTGGGAAGAGAACTCTTCAATCTCATCATCTACATTGAACCACTCCTCTTTGGATTTCCCTTTCTGGGTGGCTAATGTGGGCCCTCGCCGGAGCCGTTTGAGGGTCCGAGGTGTGTCCGATACTTGTGGTTTAAAGCCCATTGTTGGCGTTTCAAAATCATCCTCCTCGTCGTCGTTGTTGTTTGAACGGATGGTAGCTCCGGCAGATGATCTTTTAGCTGGTTTGATATTATAGCTGGTTGATGGTTCGGGTCTTCTAGCGGTCTGGGGCTCCGGGTCCGGGTCCAGGTCCAAATCGAACCCTAGTGAGAATGATGGAGGTTCAAAATCCGCCATTGCGCGGTGGATTGAGGTGACGAATGCGACTGTTTAGGTTTTTTATTTTTATTTTTTTCGAAGGATTTGCATTTGTTTTTGCGCCAAAATGAGATACAAAAATGAACTTTTTGGCGCTTAATTTGCGGATTTCAACTTTTACCAACACTTCCTTTCCTTCTAATCTTATTAAAATTGCATTCAAAAAAGGGCATCTGCAAAGTAATCTGATTTCTTATTGTGCTATACGCTGTCGTTTCGTGACGGGAGAATTTTGCAAATTTGTTTTAGCTTCTTCAAGTCCAAAAATGCAACTATAATAGTTTGGCGTTCATTCCTTGCAGTTTATTATGAGATCATCATCATATATAAATAGATTAAACCATTAGGGCTTGATTTCACGTTTTCTTTGAATACAAAAAAAAAAAAAACTTGATTCGACCTCCAACTTAATAAAAATGTGTTTGAGATTAGGTCGAATAGTAATTGAGTCAAAATCATGGATTATAAGCAATGTTAAAGTCAATAAGAAAAAGGTGGTGTGTGTGCTAAAGCCAATATTACAGCGAGTGTGTGTTTGGTAGTAGATTATTTGGGATAATTTAAAAAAATACTGTAGCACTTTTTGATGTGATATAAAATGTGTTGATAATATAAACAAATAATTTTTTATAAATAATTCTCAATCCAAACAAACCGCCTTAACTTGATTATCATTGATTTTGCCCCTATTGCTAAAATATATTATGCAAATTTCTTTGGTTCTTTTTCTTTTTGAATTCTCCTTTCTATTGTTTTTTTACTATAATCTAATATGTAAGCAAACAAGATAACATTTTTATGGATGTTTAAAATGCAATTCTACAAAAATGTATCATCTTAATTCCCTTTTGGTGATCACTTAGGCATTATCATTTAGTCAAATAAGTATGTATTAAAATAAAATTAAATGGATTGATTAGCCAAATTGATGTGAACTCAACCCAGTAAGAATCTGTTTTGAAGAACTAAGTCGATCAGGTAGGAAGGAACTATCTTGACAAAGTTATGAACAACAAATATCTTACTAGATTTAAAGAGAACCCGTCTCTAGAAACTTAGTGGATTAGTTAGTAGTTGGAAAGAATAAGATGACATGATCATTTTACTTTGAACATCACAAGTATTTGATACAATTCAAGAAGAAACTCACGTTTCGTTAAGGAACTCCATAAGAGGAGAACAAAAAAATCAAGCAAAACAAAAGAAATCAAACAAAATTAAAAACCCTAAGATCAGTTTGACGGGAATATGCGAGGTAGATGACTAGATTGGTAGTCAGATACGAGGCAGAGACAAATCAAGAAGAAAACTTTGCTCCACAGTGATCCAAGGTGGATCCGTGTGCGGATTGTCACGCGGATCTGCTTCCAGGCTCCAAATGACGTTCACAAACTTAATTTCATCTAACTCCATCCCCTTCACGACTTCATGTATTCTAATGGAATCTTGAACATCATAAATTGGTGTTAAAAAGGCTCTCAAACATTTTGGCACGAGCTCTCGCCCTACCTAAATGGACAAAACGAAAACATCCTCTCACTTGCATTAACTGGATCTGTTGATAAAATAGCTGTAGTATAACACCTCCACCCTCCTCGCCCCCACCCCCCCCCCCCCACAACACCCAACCCACCAAAAAAAAAAAAAAAGAAAATCCCAAAAGGAAGGAAAAAGGACGAAAGAGTAGGTTAGCTGCTTATAGTCTTTGATTCATGTAACTAACTCTCAATTAAAGATTTACAAGGAAAATAATCAAAGGAAAAAGAAACATGTTCAACTACTTTCCTATTCACACAGGCCAAAATTTCCAAGAACCATTTCCACCCCATTTCCATTGGGATCAAGGAAGTGGTGACAAGATGGAGATAAATGGAGGCTGAGAGGTCCTTGTTCTATATCTGAATTCAGAACCTAATAAAAAACTTTACAGGACATAACAAATATACGAATACAATTAACAAACTTTACAGGACCTAATTTACACCTGCCCTTACATCTCAGCCTCTGGTATGCTTTGCAGGGCAGGCCTCCAGGACCTTGGATGTGTCTCATTTCCGTCACCAAGGTTGAGCAACAGTGCTAAAACCTCTTTCACCGGTTTCCCTTGTACATCCACCTTACTCAGAAGTTCCTCCAATTGCTTCTTCGTGATCTTGATCTTCACCTCTGCCCCTGCCGTGGTAGAAGAAGGAAGAGATTTAGCCCCCTTCTTTCCTCCAGGAAAACTCTCCTCCTCTGTTTTCATTGGCTTCGCATACAACTTATTGTCTTGGCCAACCCCACTAGAAGAAAACACGGTTTTCTTGGCCTCTGATGGCACCGGCGAGGGAGAGCCCCAATCATCCCCTCCCCATTGTGTGGATGATTCTTTGATAATACAGTTTCCCATCTTCTAACAAATGAATGCTTGTAATCGATTATTAGTATTGAATTCAAGAGAGTAAGATCATAAGTTGGTGTTTATATATATATAGGCAGGTAGGGCCCGCAGGGGAGCCTTTGGCCCCACAGTCTATAATAAAAAACTAAAAATATAAGAAAACTGGATGGGGGGTGTAATGTTTGGTAAAAAGTTTTTAAAATAACAATATAGGACTTTTTGTAACGTGACGTATGTGAAATGAAATAAGAATATGATTAAAGAGATAAAAATGTAATTGAAAAATATATTTTTTTAAAAAAATTTCTTTTAATGACTAATTCAAACAACCAAAAAAATTACACAAAAGACAACAATTTCATATCTAAAAATATGACCATTGAATATGCATATAATGAAAAGAAAAAATTTGATGCTATTTTCTATAATGTACGCAAAAAAAAAAAAAAATTCTGCACGTTTCAAAGGGATCCATGTAAACTGTAAGCAAAATGATGTATGAGTAAATTGTGTGAGCAAAATCCCAATGAAGATATATATATATATATATATATATATATATATATATGTGTGTGTGTGTTTGTAATGACAAAATTTTATTTTATTTTTATACTAATCTACACTATGGAGAGCGAAAGTCTAAAAAAACTTGTATAAGAATTAGAGAGCGAACCACCAAATCAGACATATATACAGTTACATTCTCTGAATTTTTTAAGAATAAGGAAGCACTCCACTATCCAGGAACCCTCGACCAACAAGGATACATGGCGAAGAAAAAGGCCGTGGCAGACAACCGATCAAGAAGTTGCCAGGAGGGATGACAAGGGTGTCCTACCTGGCAGGTGATGGTGCGTTTGACGTCGGAATGTTCGGGTGTCCCACTGTTCTTGGTTGGGGCCTCGATTGAGGCAATTTGGTTGGTTGACGCCACCCCCACTTAAGCTTATTGAACCGGTGGTGGCTCAGCACACTTCAGTCGGCTAATTGATGGACCATTAAATTTTAGAAATAACTTTAGTTATAAATGAAGAAGAAAAAAATGTGATAGAAAATGACTTCTATTTGTACCAAAAGAGGAATGCATTTTTGGCATAGTTTCAACATTATCTACATGTATTATATAATGTCTAATGAGATTGATTCGATTCAAAATAATGGTTAAAAATATTTTCACCCAATTTTTTGAAAAGAGACACATAGAAAGTGATAAAAGGTTTGGATACCAAAATTATCCCAAATAATATTTCGCTTGCATCACAAACACATTTTCCAACCTACCTTTTTATATTTCCAATCACCTTTTTATCTCACATACATCACATCACAAAAAATGCTACAGTAATTATTCCAAATAATATTTCAAATAATACACTATCCAAACAAAAATTTACCATAATTGAGAAAATGGCTTGAAAAGAAATTTAAAGCAAGAGAGGAAAAGTAGACTGATATATGTAAACATGATAAATTGTTAATATGTTCAATGAAAGAAGAACAACGTTTATTTACAACAATTCAGAAATGGTTTGAAAAATATAATGATTAATCTTTTATATATTAATAATGTATACACTTTTACTATTAGATCCATGATATATAATTCAAATTATATATATATATATTATATATCCAATCGTGATAGTATATACATCATAAATCCATATAAGATTTACTTAAAATGTAAAGCAAGAGAGCAAAAGTAGAGGTGATTTTTTGAAGCTCCACCACTCGAGCAGCTGAGTATTAGCCAAACCAAATGAGCCGGCTCCGTGTGAAAAGAGATTGGCTACCGAATCTTGCTTGCGGATTTCCATTGTGAACGCAACTGGGCAAGTGGAATCTTGCGCATTTGTGCTCTAGTTGCAGTCTCACGCGTGAGTTCCCTAACCTACTTTTTCTAGCTGATCTCACGCTGGTTGTAATTAAGCACCTTAAACATTTCATTATCACATTCTATACCCCTCAGAGTAGGTTGCTTCCTAACCACGGGCTTTGGCTCAGCGGCCAAAAAAAAGGGACTTAGTCTTTTTTTGAACTGTGAATTGAGGGTTCGAACTCTACATGCAATAAAATCATTAGATTCTCCTCCTCTAGATTAGAATAGATTATGTTATAAAAATGTTATCATTACCGTAAAAAAAATGTAGGTTGCTTCTTCATCCCATGATGAAAGTTGTAAATCACGAGTCCTTCCAAACACTTTTTAATTATTTTACATGCATCACAAATATACTTTTTAAATATTTTTTATTTTTAATTGTCTTTTTATTTTATGTATATTGTATCATAAAAAGTGTTACAATAGTTATTTTAATTAATATTTAAAATAGTACTTTATCAAAAAAAAAAAACACGCACACACAAACACACACGGCATTTAGGGAATATTGCATAGTTTCGTGTCGACCACTGGGTATTGCCAATCTGCAATGTCAGCAATCGAGAAGATTGAGCAGGAAGGGACCAATATATTGACACTGGAAATGTGACATGTGCACTTAATTCAAGTGAAACAACACTGGAATACTTCACATTTGATTTTTGTGACAGGATCCATAATTTTTTTTACCTAATAAATATCGTTCTAAAACAACTGAGATCTCAACGAATTTTTGTGACCCATCCTTTGCAACTCATTATTGTCCGCCTCCACTAAACCACGGATTAATATCTTCTCTAAAATAATTGAGCAAGTTTAAAACTTCATTATTTGTCTTAACAAAGATATCATTAAAACACTTTATCGAGTAGTTTTGTTGCTGTTGCTAAGAGGTTAACTACTTAATTAATTGTGGCTTGCGACAACTAATAATGTGGGGATGTAGTCCAATGAGATGGTATCATCAATAATAAGTACCTTGGATAACACTTCTATTTCTTCTAATCAGATGAGGAAATTGAACACCATAACACGAGGGTTGCATAATTTCAAACAAGTTGAGCAGTCACTCCATTGTCTACTTGAGCCTAACAATGACAAGGTACGATATATATGTGAGTATAGCCCGCTTACTAATTCATGGCTGACTTTCCTGAATGATTGAGAAATCAAAGCTAGTAATGACAAATAAACTGATGAATCCTTGACTGTTGATTAATCTGTGTGGACCGTGTGGTGTACTAGTAGACTGAATATTTTGTCACTTTAAATTTGAAGGGTGGCTGGCGGCAAGCTAGCCTAAATTGACTTCTTGTAGATATCTACTACATGGACTAATTAAGGGTAAATTCCAATGTTTTGAAACTCGAGCCATTAATTGAACCGGCCAGATGTATGGGTCGAGATTCAATCGGTTGAATCGGTTCAACCTGGTTCAATGACTTTTTTAAAAAATAATTTATATAAATATATATGCACAAAATAAGACATGCAATGGGCTAATTTAAGACTTTATATAATGAAAAGTTTAATATTTTCAAAGAACTTGGATTTTCACAAATAAATTTTTTAAATTATAAGTTAAAACAAATAAATTTATCTCAATATCAATTGTATTTACCAAAAAATAAACTTAAATTCAACCCAAAATTAGCACAATATTCTAAATATATACAAAATTCACATCATGGGACTTAGAGATTGCGAGTTTAAATTCTAAATCACGTTTTTGGAAGGGAAATTTGCCAAATTGGTCCCTAACATTTACCAAAAACACTTTTTTAGTTCCTAACATATAAAATCAGCCAAAATTGTCCCTCACATTTAAATTGTAATCCAATTTGGTCCTAATGCTCGTTTTTGCTCATTTCTCCGGCTAAAAATAGCACGCCTCTCTCACGTGGTCATATTTTTAGGGGCAAAATCGAAAAATACATTTCATTATCGTTTGAAAGTAAAAGGATAGGGGACCACCACCCCCTTTTCACCTTTCTCCCTCAAATTACAGTTTCAAGAAACCCTAAATTGCATCCCCTAATTAACAATCGTAACTTGGAAATGTTAGTGACGATGATGACGAAGACAAAGCTGTAGAGTGTGATTGAAAAATGATTGAAGGTTTGGCCAGAAAATCGTGAAGAAAATCTTTGAAAAGATGCAGAATGAATCGGGAAAATGAAACTTCACAATGGATTATGGTAAGTTTTTTTTTTACCAATGTGGTTAAAAATTGTTGACGAATCTTGCTTAGGACTGTATTTTGCTTTAATTAATTGAAGATTGTTCATTATTTTACTTAGTTTTGCTGTGGTCCCCAATTTTTATTATGAAAGGCTCCACCTTTCTGTCATGGTCCCAAAGTAATTATCGTTTTAATGGCTGACAGGGGCCAATGAGATGCATATTTCTATTTGTATACACTTTGGAGGTGAACTTAGAGATACAGGAAATAGAGATTATATAGGGGTTCAGTTGACATAGTTGATGGTTGTAATCTAGAAAAATGGTCTCTGTGTAAGTTGGACGAAGTAGCTAACAACCTTGGATTTGAGCCTTATACAGTGGGTTACTACTACCTGATTCCTGGTAGGAATATGTGTAAGTGCCCGGTGCAACCCAATGAGTACAAACAAATTCACAATGATGCACAAAGATATATCAAATTTAAGCACAATAAAGAAAACTTAATTAAAGAGAAAGGATAAGAAATGCAAACCAAATATCAAACCAATAGCCTCTTCAATTGATGGCGATGCTAACCAAGATGTACAAGTGAAGGCTCACTCCTTCCTCACCCCAAACACACTTTGGTTGAGCCAAGGAGTTTTACAACAATTCTAGTTAACCCTCAACAGCCTACACTTGAAAGATCACTCACCCAATTAAGAACTATTTTATACAAATGAGGCAACCTTCACCAAGGTTTTACCACTTCAAGTGATAGGTTCACCTTCACCAAGGTTTTACTCCTCCTAGAGAATAACCTTCACTTGAGCAACCTCACAACCCAACTTCCCCAACCCCTTATACAACCAACAAAGAATCTTTCTACTCAAAAATCTCACTTGTAAGCTTGTATTTTGTGTTGGCAAAAGTCTTGTGTCTTCTTGTGCTTTGGGGTGTTTATAGAAGGTGAGAAATGGCTCCAAAAGGCTCTCCAACGGTCAAATATTAAATGCTGTCAAAACTAGCCGTTGGCCTGTCGGACGTCCGAACCACCTGTCGAACGTCCGAACCCTGCGTCCAAACCACCTGTCGGACGTCCGAACCATGCGTCCGAACGTCGTCAGAGAGTCATCAAATCTTTGCGAAATTTCTCGGACGTCCGATGCGAAATTTCCTTCCGGACGTCCGATGCTTCCTCACGAGCGTCCGACAGAGTTTCCTTCTTGATGTTCTTCATCCTTTCGGACGTCCGATAGCTTCCTTTCGGACGTCCCACATGAGTGCCCTGTTTTTGCTTCTTCTTTTGTGCCACAAGAATCTGTTCTAACAAATTGCTCACATAAAAACATTAGCCCAAATCTACATTTTAGTTTGTTAATCATCAAAACCAAGGATTGATCGACCAAGGTCAACAATCTCCCCCTTTTTGATGATGACAAACAAAATGAAGATTTTTTTGATCAAATAAGTTCAAATAAAACTCCCCATTAGAAAATGCCAACATACAAAGAAATTTTAATAAATCCTACTCCCCCTTTTGACAACAATCAAAAAGCAAACTCCCCCTTTATTTTCCAAATCAAGACCATATAGAATGACAAAATTTTCATGATACCAATTGTAATTTTTTATAGGGTTCTTGGGAGTTAGTACAACATGATCTAGCAATCCACATGGATTTCATACCTTTTCTCATATTTTTCTTTACATAGCAATCATTTTGCATATGTCCAACTTGGCAACAAAAGTGACACATGATAGAAGTATTTTGCACATAGGTGGATTTAATGCAACTAATTTTCTTACTTCTTATCATAGCAAACTTATTTGTACCTTGAAAAGATTTGCTTTCTTTTGTTTGAGAAAACGTTTGTTTTTCATTTTGGAGAAACTCGTTCAAGTCATTAATTCTTTTCTTTAACACATTTTGTTCCTCCAACATTTTTTCATAAAACTTTGTTTTCTCTTCCAACTTTCTTTTCAAATTATTTTTGCAATCAAAAACACTTTTTTGATTTTTTAAATCATCATTTTCCATTCTCAAACATTTGTTTTCTTGAAAAAGTTTGGAGTTTTCTTCCAACAAATCATTTATTTTTGTTTTCAAATCTTTATTTTTAGCATAAGATTTTCTCAAACTTTTATGCATTTTAATCATAAGAATTTTCACATCATCATCTTCATTATCTTCATCACAAGAAGAGTGATAAGAACTTACCTCATCTTCTCCAACGGCCATTAGTGCCATTTGGGCCAACTCTTCTTTTTCTCTTTTTGAATTGCATTCATCCCATGTAATTTTGCAATCTCCTCTTGAACATCTCTTGTTGAAGATCTTCTTGAAACTTTTGATGTGAGGAGTTATATCATTGTCCACTTCCATGATTTCATTACCCATGAAGGATGGGTTATCCCCCACTTGAGATGCTTTAAAAGCTATGCCTCTCTTATACATTCTTGCATTTTCTTCCTCTTGCACTTTGAATTTCAGCTTTAATTCATAAGAGGTTAGGGTATCCACAAGAGATTCAATGGACATAGAATTTAAATCCTTTGCCTCTTCTATAGCATTTATTTTGTTTTCCCATTCTTTTGGCAAGGCATTCAAAATCTTTCTATTTTTCTCACCCAAAGAATATTCTTTTCCAAGCAATTTAAGATCTTCAATAATGTCACAAAATCTACTACACATCTTATCAACATTTTCAAGAGGATGCATTTTGAAAAATTCATATTGAGAAACAAGCAAAGATTTCTTTTGTTCTTTAATATCTTGGTTACCTTCATGAAATACACACAATTTATCCCAAATATCTTTAGCTGATTTACAACATTTAATCCTGCTAGATTCATTTACATCTAATGCATTGTACAATATACACATGGCCTTGGCATTCAAAGAAAGGTATCTCTTGTCTTTTTCATTCAATTCTTGTCTAGTCTTTAATCTACTCAAATTGGTGGTAGAGTCAACTATTCTAACTTCATAAGGACCATCTTCTACCACATACCATAATTCAATATAAACGGATTGTAAGAAAATCATCATTCTTTGTTTCCACATGCTAAAATGAGAACCATTAAACATAGGTGGTCTATCAATAGATTGCCCTTCTAAAAAAGAAACTTTTATGGTTGCCATGATCTTTACTCTAAGCGGTTAAGCTTGATCAAAAGAGACCAAGCTCTGATACCAATTGTAAGTGCCCGGTGCAACCCAATGAGTACAAACAATTCACAATGATGCACAAAGATATATCAAATTTAAGCACAATAAAGAAAACTTAATTAAAGAGAAAAGATAAGAAATGCAAACCAAATATCAAACCAATAGCCTCTTCAATTGATGGCGATGCTAACCAAGATGTACAAGTGAAGGCTCACTCCTTCCTCACCCCAAACACACTTTGGTTGAGCCAAGGAGTTTTACAACTATTCTAGTTAACCCTCAACAACCTACACTTGAAAGATCACTCACCCAATTAAGAACTATTTTATACAAATGAGGCAACCTTCACCAAGGTTTTACCACTTCAAGTGATAGGTTCACCTTCACCAAGGTTTTACTCCTCCTAGAGATAACCTTCACTTGAGCAACCTCACAACCCAACTTTCCCAACCCCTTATACAACCAACAAAGAATCTTTCTACTCAAAAATCTCACTTGTAAGCTTGTATTTTGTGTTGGCAAAAGTCCCTTGTCTTCTTGTGCTTTGGGGTATTTATAGAAGGTGAGAAATGGCTTCAAAAGGCTCTCTAACGGTCAAATATTAAATGCTGTCAAAACTAGCCGTTGGCCTGTCGGACGTTCGAACCACCTGTCGGACGTCCGAACCCTGCGTTCAAACCACCTGTCGGACGTCCGAACCCTGCGTCCGAACGTCGTCAGAGAGTCATCAAATCTTTGCGAAATTTCTCGGACGTCCGATGCGATCGATGTGCGTCTGATGCGTGCGTCCGATCCTTCCGGACGTCCGATGCTTCCTCACGAGCGTCCGACAGAGTTTCCTTCTTGATGTTCTTCATCCTTTCGGACGTCCGATAGCTTCCTTTCGGACGTCCCACATGAGTGCCCTGTTTTTGCTTCTTCTTTTGTGTCACAAGAATCTGTTCTAACAAATTGCTCACATAAAAACATTAGCCCAAATCTACATTTTAGTTTGTTAATCATCAAAACCAAGGATTGATCGACCAAGGTCAACAATATGGCAGATGGATTAGTGTATATGTTGTAGAAGGAGGATGCTGCTGAATTGGCTAAATTAGGGATGATGTATGGGTTAGTTGATGTGTTCTTCATTCATCGAAGAACATATAATCTGCCTCATTTTGCTGGTGATAAAGAAGGAAGAAGGAATGATAGTAATAGGAATAATAAAGAATTTGTACATGTGGCCACACCAGAGCATCTTGGCAAAGAATCTGTACATGTGGCCATACCAGAGAATGTTCAAGAAGATTCTATACATGTGGCCACACCTAATTTTGCTACTGATGGTGGTTTTCAAGACGCTAACATGGATGGAGGAACTCCTTCACGTACTGGTAAGAGAATGAAACAAATTGCAAAGAAAAGAACTTCACTTGCAAAAAGATTGAAAATGCAGCAGAGGAGAAAGGATGTTGGCCATCAAGATATTGCTGCTCAAAGTGGTGTTAGTGGCCAGAGTGGATCATGCCAAAGTGCATCTCAAACCCAAAACAAAAGTAAGCATGGTGAACATGAGACTGGAGGAGCTACAGAAACTCATGCTGCTGAACATGAAACTCCTGATGCTGCTGAATATGAGACTGCTGAAGCTGTAAAAACTGATGTAGGTGAACATGCAACTGATGGAGCTACAGAAATTGATGGTAATGGAAATAAAAGACATCGCAAAGGCAGACAAGAAAGAAGAGCACCAACTAAGTCAAGAAAGACATCCAATAGAAAGGCTGAAGGTAAAAAGTCATTAAAAAAAATGAGCAGATCAGAGAGGATATTGTTTCAAGTGATCCCGAGAGTCTGTATGATAGCGAATATGCTATAAGTGATGAAGAAGAGCTAATGAAATCTATTAGTGAAATACCTGCAGATTGGACTAATGTTGCAAAACAGTTCAAGACAGCAAAAAAAGGTAAAGAAAAGGTACAGGAAACTGCTGTTAATGAAGAAGAATAATGAGTGTAGTATGAAAGAGTCAGATAATTCATCACATGATGGGCTGCACAGCAATGAGAGTTCTGGAGATGAAGGAGGGAGTAAGGATATGGACAAGAAGAAGTTTAGGGTATTCAATCCTACAACAGAGATGGATGACCCAAAGTTTGAACTTGGGTTGTTATTCAAGTGTAAAATTGACTTTATCAATGTTGCAAAATCACATGGAGTGAAGTATGGAAGGAAAATCAGGTTTAAGAAAAATGATTCAAACAGATGCAAAGCCATATGCAGAAGCAAGAGATGCATGTGGAACATATATTGCTCAGTTAGGAGTGATAAAGTGACATTCCAAATAAAAAACATGCTGCTGACTCACACTTGTGGTAGGACAACCTATCACGGCCTGGCAAGTGTGACATATTTGGCCAACAAGTATTTGGTGGACATTAGATTGAACCCAAATTTTAATGTAGGTGATTTTATGATAAAGGTCCACAAGGACTTGGGAGTTAGTATCGCACCTAATGTGGGGTATAAGGTAAGGGCAAAAGCTAAAGAGATGATACATCGTGATGTCATGTCCTAGTACAGTAAACTTTGGAGCTACTGTGAAGAACTTCAAAAGGCAAATCCTAACTCTAATGTGTTCATGAATACAACTGAGAATAATGAGGGTGATGATGAGTTTCAGAGATTCCATGTGTGCCTAAATGGTTGTAAAAGAGGGTTTCTGCAGGGTTGTAGATATGTTGTAGGTCTTGATGGATGTCACTTAAAAGGCTGTCATAAGGGAGTTCTTCTCACAGCCGTTGGTATTGATCCAAATGATCATCTATTTTTGATAGTGTATGCCATAGTTGAGACTGAAAATAAGAACTCTTGGAAATGGTTTGGAGAAGAGCTAAAAGGTGACCTTGAAATTATTGATGAAAGCATTTGGGCATTTATAACCGACAAGCAAAAGGTAATATATAACTAACTTTATCAGCCTTGTTGTTATGATAATACTTAGTGACAGTAATATAGGTTTGATTTTTTATTTCATTTATAGAGGGGCTAGTTCAAGCTATTCAAGACGTACTGTCAGGGGTTGAGCATCGCATGTGTTTGCGGCACATGTATAATAATTTCAAAAAACAACATCTAGGCTTAGCTCTCAAGGAAAGGATATGGGTTGTCGCACGAGCTTCTTATAGGGATAGATTTGCTGGATTGGAGTCACTAAAAGAGTTTGATGAAGGTGCTTACAATTGGTTGGTAAATCATACTTGTCCAAAGGAGTGGACAAGATCACATTTTAAAACAAGTGTAAAATGTGATATTTTGTTGAATAATCTGTGTGAAAGTTTTAACTCCATAATCCTTGATGCTAGGCAGAAACCAATTCTTAACATGTTGGAGACCATTAGATTTTACTTAATGGTTAGAATGGAAAAAAAGAGGGAATGGATAAGGAAATACACTGGGGAGATATGTCCTAAAATTCTGAAAAAGTTGGAGAAAAATAAGCTTGTTGCAAATGACTGCATTCCTAGCCATTCCAAGGACTGGAAATTTGAAGTTAGGTGCATGTATGGTGATAGGTATACTGTGGACCTTATTAGTAGATGTTGTAGTTGTAGAAAGTGGGACCTTAATGGCATTCCTTGTGCACATGCCATTGTTGCAATTTGTGACACTGGAGAGGAATCCGAAAAGTTTGTACATGATTGCTACTCCAAAGAAGCTTACATGAGGGCATATGAACCCATGATAAACCCAATGAATGCTGAGCAAATGTGGAAAAATTCTGACATGCTGCCCGTGCTACCCCCTGAGAACATAAAACTTCCTGGTAGACCACGAAAGGCTAGATGAAGGGAGCCAGATGAACCAGTACAGGTAAAAAGCAAAATAAGCAGCAGCAAAAGCTATCTAGAATTGGACAAATGGTGTATAAGTGTCGAAAATGTAACAAGACTGGCCACAATAGTAGGAAGTGTCCAAGCCAGACACAAAATGTCTCTGCTGAGATTGATTCACATGGATTTGTTAGACCTACAGCTCCAGTTTCCAAGTCAAATACTCAGATGTCTAAGGATCTCATGGCAGATGCACCATTGTGAAGTCAACAATCTACATCAAACTATTCTACTGCTGCAAGTATTCCAGTGAGTATCATAAACATCTTTTGCTTGTCAAATACTCATATTTTACCTTTATGTTATCTAACAAGCCTTCGTTAAAATTGTCAAGGTGGAGAATATTGGGAAGTGCAAGTGCTCTATCTGCTACCAATATGGTCACACCAAAGATAGGTGCACTTCTACTGTTGCAGAGCTTTCTCGAGGGCAGGCACATGAATCTTCGAAGATCAGTGGAAAGCAAAAGGAAAATTGAAGTGCTAGTGGCTTGTTTAAGCATCTTTTGGTGGCTTTAGCTACAACTTTTATGTTGTGTTTTGCTTTTGGGATATTATAGTTCATGTATTACGACTTGAGCTAAAACTTTTACACTGCTGTAAAGAGCATCTTGGCTGTTAGTTTTTGCTGTAAATATTTTGCTATTAGTTTTTTGCACTGCTGTAAAGAGAATCTTGGCTGCTTCAAACATTTGCTACAAAATTCTGTAGCTTATTGTCTTCAAATTCAATGTTAAGAGACATGGTCATTCATCAGCTTTCTTTTACATTAGCAAATTTCCCTTTCCGACAATCAATTGACCAAAATGCAGCTTTGCATTCATAATTGTAAATGGTACAAACATGAGCCTGTTCTATTACACAATAATTAACAAAAGTGCAACAGTTACTATTACACAACCATTAACAAAAGTGCAGTAGGTACAAAAAGCCTCTTCATATTTTGGATACTGCTACATACTCTCGGATTCATAGCCTTTGATAAAGCCAGACACAATTAAAACAACATGTTAGACCCACCAATAACTGTCTTCCAATTTTTGTTTAATTCTAGCTTATTAACAGCAGCAAAGTGCACATCCAAGAGGCAACCAAAGCAGTCCAAAGCAATTTATCTCTTCGGATTCTCTGTTCTTGATCAGCTTATAGCCGGTTGATTGTTCTTAATAGACCAGGTATTATTGACACATATCTACTATACATTGGTGGGTCATACCACTTGAAGCCACAAGCACGAGTTACGTAAAATGCACGAAGAACATTAGATATCAAGACCAAATTTTAACCCCACATCCTAAACCCAAACTGACCTGAAATTTCTAGAAAGCTTACTCCATAATTTGGACAACCATAGAATCTTCTCCTCAGATTTGCAGGTTTCCAAGAAGTTACAATGATAGGCTCCTTTCCACAAAGACATCGCTCGTTTGGATCCATTTTACTCTTCAAAGGTCAGCTTCTTCTTCCTAATTTCTTGCTACTGTGTTTTCCCTTTTCAATTTCAATGGGTTAGTGAGGCAATTAGATGAAGGAAAGATGGCTTCTTTCAACCTGTAATGAAATATATTTTCCGGTATTGCCCCTAAAAATATGACCACATGAGAGAGGCGTGCTATTTTTAGTCGAAGAAATAAGCAAAAACGAGCATTAGGATCAAATTGGATCACAATTTAAATGTGAGGGACAATTTTGGCTGATTTTATATGTTAGGGACTAAAAAAATATTTTTGGTAAATGTTAGGGACCAATTTGGCAAATTTACCTTTTTGAAATTTAGAGATAGCAATTTTTTTTTAAAAAAAAGAAGTTTGGAGTTTGGAAGAAGTTTGAAAATAGAAAATAGAGATGCAAACTTGATATGAGGCAAAAAAATGAGAAGAAAACGAGTGGTTTTGGCATTTAATAATTAGTCTTCAGGGTTAATGAAAACCTACTCTTTTTTTTAAATTTTTTTTTTCAATTTAATAGACAAAAAAAAAACATTGCCGGCTCAACAGTTCACTTCGATTCATACGATTCTTATCGATTTTTGAGTCCAATCAATCTAAAATATGAATCAGACTGGAGCTATGAATGATTTGGAATCCGACTAGTCAAACCAGCCGGTCCGATCCGGTTTTCAAAACAATGGGAAATTCCCAAGTCGAGGAGGCCATGCTGTTACGTGTACATTCAAAGCAAACCAATATATGTAGTGCAGGGCGATTTTCCAAACACATGATCTTATCTCTTTTGTTGATTCTGTATTATTTAAAACACGAGCTCTTCTTGCCACTTTTAATCGCTTTAATTTTGATGCAAAATTACGCTACGTAGTTAAGGCCATGCCTATGTACTTGCATTGCATGCATGGCGGCTAACTGAGGATGCAATATATTGGTTGCTCGTTGAAATCATGCTGCGGGCTTAAGATACTATATCTTTCCACGAATGCAACAGTAAAAAGGTTCAAATTCTTTTTTGGATTAATCTTTCCTACACTGACAGTGCATACACTGTCAGCATTGGATGAATGACAACCATCTAAAATTTGAATTTGAAATTCAAGTTTTACACATGTGTCATGAATCCAACGGTGATAGTGTATGTACTATCAGTGTATATAAGATTTACTCTTTTTTCTTTACTTTTTATTTTTGCTAATAAAAGGGTTCAAATTCATACCAAAGATGACTTTTTTTTCCCAATCCTAAGAGACGATGAGGCAAAAGGCTTGAGCATTACCAATTAGACGAGACAATTTTGGCTGCTTGTGCAAGTAGTAAGCTTTGTCTTTTGTGTTGGGGAATTGGAACTTGTATTGTTTAAGGGAAATTTGCGAAATTGATCCCTAACATTTACACAAAAATCTTTTTTAGTCCATAACATTTAAAATTAGCCAGAATAGTCCTTAACATATAAATTATGATCCATTTTGGTCATAATGCTCGTATTTGCTCATTTTTTCGACTAAAAATAGCACGCCTCTCTAATGTGGACATATTTTCAAGGGCAAAACTGGAAAACACTATTGTTTTCAGTGTAAATGTGGAATTGAAGCTTCTGCTGCTGCAGCTTCAGTATATTCTCCTCAAACTAAAAAGTACCCGCGTCAATTTGAGGCTTGGTCCCCCTAGCGATGTGGCTGTTGCTGTTGATCCCCTAAGGAACCACCACCATTAAACCCGGCGAGCTTGATTCCGTCACCTTTTCGTTAAAGCTGTGTGATCCGACCACCAAGGAACCATCACCAGCCTATTTCTAGCAGATTGTGTAGGAGGCGAAGCCCGGGCATCAAGATTGTGGGTTTTGGTGGGCAGCGGAAAAGAAGAGAAAAGAGATGACATGGAAGATGATTTGGGTTAAGAAAGCGAAGCGAACAAAGATGACGATGGTTTTGGAAGCGATGCCAAAAGTCTTGAACTTTCTCGATTTTTTAGCAATTACTGTCCATCTCTCTTTTCTTGAAGTTCATTAGATTTATGTGGATTTAGGGTTGAGGAAGACGACGAGATAGGGGCTTTGGGGGGTGGGATTGGGGTGGGGGAAGTGGAAAGGAGATGGATGAGGAAGAAGAAGATGATGAAGATTTTGGGGGTGGCAGTGAGGAGAGAAATCCAGCGGATCTGGAATTTGAGAGCTGTGGTTTATCTTCTTGTTCTTGATCTTGTTCTTCATCGGAAGAGGCGTAGCTCGCTAGTAAAGAGTCCATGACCAGAAGCAAAATGGGAGAAAAGCCTTAATTTTAGAATAGGGAAAGAAAAATATGCGAAAATGTTGTCCTTGAAAAGGGGAGAAAAGCTTGTGTTTTCCAGTTTTGCCCTTGAAAATATGCCCACGTGAGAGAGGTGTGCTATTTTAGTCGAAGAAATGAGCAAATACGAGCATTAGAACTAAAATGGATCATAATTTATATGTTAAGAACTATTCTGACTAATTTTAAATGTTAGGAACTAAAAAAGTTTTGTTGTGTAAATGTTAGGGACCAATTTGGCAAATTTCCCTTTGTTTAATTGACAAAGGGGAAACACCTTTCTTATTGCATGAAATCTAAGACAGATACAGCGTGCTAAATTATTGTGGGTTGAATAATTTTATTAATCATAGGTTGGAACAGAAATTAAAGTAGGAGCCTAGAATAAAAAAGAAATTAAAGCTGACCTTGGTACTTTGGCAAAACGCACAGGTCTCTTGAATATCAAACAATATATATATATATATATATATATATATATATATATATATATATATGTATATACGTATATATGTCTAAGTCAAAATGGATGATGATTAATGACTTGATTTGATGGTAATCATGATGGTACTAAGAGTTTAAGTGCTTAAATTAATTTTATCTTACAACAATTATGCATGTGCATAATGTGGGGTTTTATTTGCTAAACATGCAGTCATACGTACTTTATGTTGACAAAAAAAAAAAAAAACCAAGCTATTTAGAATTTTAGTTGTTTTAGAATTATATTTATTATTTGGTAATTAGATTAGAATTTGGTGTCAAAGTTGGTTTAGGAAATAGAGTTAAGTCATATTTTGGTATTATAATTAGAATAGGATTCATTGTTTATTTCTCTATTTAAGGACTTAAAGTCTGACCATTTGTGGTTGAGGAAAATTAATAGATTGATTGAATAACCTCCCGTGCCCTTTTTTTTTTTTTTTTTTTTTATTGCTTTTGAGATCAAGAACAACAGTTTCGTTTTTTTATATTGTTCAAAGCAAGCCTTGCGGCTTTGTCTATTCTTTGTTTAGTTACTATAGAAAGTTTCATTTGAGTATTAAAAAGTTGAGACATTAATTTTACTTCCACTGCATGATTTTTTGTGCTAACACTTTATCATACCAAACATATCATAATTCATGGTGCCATCAAGAAATTATAAGTATCTTATGTAACACTCGTCTTCTAAATAGCCGAGCAATTTGAACACCACAACACAATTAATGGTACATATATACA